TAATATTGCAGGAGTAATTAAAGTGCCCCACTCTCCTAGTTGGATCGCATGGGTTTGTTTGCCAGTCCCCCCTCCCCCACCTCCCTGGTTGCATGGTATCAACTTATCTTACAATTGTTCTGGGTTGTCATGTTAGCTCAGTCTACCTCAATTCTATGAAAATGCTTCAACTTTCCAATTGTTTTGGCAAATGGTATAGAAATTTCCTGCATTGCCCATGTTAAAAATTTTCTCAAGGCTTTTTTTCAATTCACAAATTGTTATTTAGCCATTTAGGTAAAGATGTGGGGGTTGGTCCTTTGGAATTTTGACCGTGGTTCATAACACTTGAATGTAGGCATGTTATAGTACTAATTTAACTTCGTATAAATTCATTCCTAAACCTAAAACCATGAATCCCTGTTGCTTTGAGGACCACTTCTCATTATTTACCCTTCGCATTTGGTACATTTAGATCCCAAATTGCCAACATGAAAGCTCTAATATTAGTATTTTTATTTTTAGATATTAGATAAATTTAAGTAGTTTTTATACACCAATAATATAATTTTTTAATTATATAAATAAAATTAAAAAACTATCGTATGCCTTTTTTAAAAAAAAAAAATTTTTTACTACATCTTTGAGATATATGTAACTTACTAATTTTCACAGTTAAGGGATATGATAATTTATGTATGTCATGCTTGGTATATAAAATTATGATAAGATAAAATAAGATGATATTATAAATAAAATAAAATTAAATAATATCATCTAATCTTATGTTTGATAGGTGTAAGGATTAAAATAAAATAATTTATTTATTGATCAAAATTATTTTTTTTCAATGTTTATATAATTTAAATTATTGATATAATTTTTAAGAATATAATAAAATACATAAATTTAACATCATAAATTAAAAATAATCATTTTTATTTAAAAAAAATTAAATTATCTTATATCAAGGGAATGATAATACCACAACGTAATCTTATCCCTTTTTAATTATATATAAATTAAATATAATATAAAATAATTATCTTAATATTTTATCTACCAAACATAACCATAATAAACCAGATATTTTGTAATATTACTTTGTTACTTCAAGCGCAAAATTTTCTTTTGATAATTTGTGAGTAATTTAAATTTTTTTTAAATAAATTAAAAGCTTAAAACTCCATCGAAATTAACAGTCACATTAATTGAAACAAAAGTATAAATGCATCGGCCAATAGTAACCAGCGAAGTAATGTGGGCATTCTCCGTTAAAAAAAGTTGGTGAGAATTTAAGGTTTAAACGCCCAAAAAAACTGAAATTTTGACTTGAAGACATAATAATACTAGAAGCAAAGAGTTGCGCATGACATTCTTTGTAAAGGGTACAAAAAAGAACTGGTTGATTTTAGCATTGCCCGATCGGTCCACCGTACAAAAAACGATACACTCTTAATGTTGCTAATAATAATGACATCTCATTTAATTCATTATTAACTTAATACCACTAATTAATCTACGATATTAATTCAGCCACAGCGGAGTTACCAGCTGTTTTTACTCCAAGTAGGGACAGTTAAAAGTAAAAAAGCAAAAAATAGACTAAAAAATTAAATAAATAAAAAGAAAGACAAAAAAGTACCTAACGGCCGTTGACAAGCCGGCTAACGGCCGTTGGCAAGTGGGCTAACGGCCGTTGGCAATTGGGCTAACGGCCTGATTTCTTGCGGGGACTTGGAGGAAGGCTGGTTTTAACGGAGCCAACAAGTCGTTGTACAAAGCACTCAATTCTCTGTCCGTTAGTCTCCGTCAGTAACCGCTTCCCGCCAAACGGTAACGACTCTACTCCTCTCTCCTTCAGTACTTCCTCCATTTTCGGACCCACCATCCTTTCAGTCCACAGCCCGTTTGCCTGCGCGTTGCAAACCGTCGAACGTCGATCACAAAATTATACAAATCCAAAAAAGAATATAAAACCGTTGAAATCTGTTTGGCCATTGAGAAATCCGAGGAAAATTATATAAAAAAATCACTTTAATTCAATCAAACTGATTTAACCACGAATTCAAAATTTTCTTAAGAATCAACAGAAGAGCATCGAATTCGATACGAGTAAAAGCAATATTTATATGCAAACCTGAATTCTAACGTAGTCCGTACGGTTCCAGCAGAAAGCGTTCCCCAGCATCTGGTCTACGGTCTCCGAGACTCCATCAAGCACAATGTCAACAACGGAACAAGTTGAGCATTCGCCGTTTTTACATACCTTTGACCTTCCACACGATGGACCGTTGCCTAACGACAAAACCAGAAGATCCTCCACGCCATTAACCGACGGAAAATCTCTTTTGTTATGGAGCACGTGAGTGACTGCAGCGGCAGTAGGGTTGTTCATGACCAAACCTCCGTCTACGGTGGAGCAGGAGGTCTTGCCGTCGATAGATGTCAATGGGAAAGGTTTGAAGAGGCTGGGAGTGGCTGAGGTGGCGCGGCACACTTTCCAAAGCTCGAAGTTGAAGCTAGGTGATTCGGAAGCGTCGGCGCGAGAGAAAACAAAGGGGGCGGAACTCTTGAGGTCAAAGCAAGGAACCAGGAGAGGCTTACACGTGTCCTTCAGTGTCAAAACCGTTCCGTCTTCTCTTCTAAACATTCCCTTCAGCACCTTATCCATACTCTTACCAGAATATCTATTCCCACGGCGAAGAATTCCGGCGAAGTTACTAACTTTGAAGAGCTTAGAGTTATTCTGAGAGAAAAACTTCACAGCATCTCTAGCAGTGAAAAGCGGATGCCCGGTTCCATCATCGGCAGAGAGCATAGCAGCAAGAACAGCACCGACGCCAGTGCCGGCGATCATGTCGAAGAAATCGGCAATTTGAGCATGCGGATCACCGGTTTTGAGGCGGATCTGGTCTTCAAGGTGGATAAGAGCGGCACCAGCTACAATGCCGGTGGTTCCACCACCGTCGATGCTGAGGATTCGAATCTTGTTGGTGGTTTCACAGTGCGATAGCCATTTCTGCTCCAGTTTCGTGAAGATCTCCAAAGTTACCTTCCTCAGCTCCATTTTAGGCACACTTCCTCTTTTCGCGTGAAAATAACAATGAAAAAGCTTTAGAGTAAATAACTTGTATTTTTTTTTATTTGATTGATTGATTGATTAATGCTTGCTTGTTTGCTGGCTTCTGGCAAATCCGTGAAAAAAGCAAAGAGAGCTTGGCTCTGGTCGCGCTTTGTTGCTGATAAGCAGTAATGGTGGCGATGAGCAAAAAATACGATGTTTGCACGCTGTTTCTTTCTTTCTCTCTTTCCGTCTCTCTCTGACTTCAAATCTCTGTGGCCTGACGAGTGAAAGTTGAGAGAGTGAGGGGTTTTTTTTGGATTTCTCTGTGGGCTACTGGGCTCTGTGAGAGAGAGAGAGAGTTAAAACCGGAAGTGAGTGAAGAGAGGAATAGAAATCGGGATGATAGGGCCTTAGCTGGTGGTTATCTTATTCTTATATACACATAGTATTTCTTCGGGGGTTTTTCTCTTTTGTTTTTTAATTTTAACGTTTTACTGAGAGTCTTACGTGTTTGGACTGTATTTGGACGTGTTCTTATGGAGCTATGAGAAGCGCCAACTTCGGCTTCTTATTCGGCTTGGCTTCCGCTTTCCCTTCATTAAGCATATATATTACCAGTAACCTTTTATTTATTTCAGTCTTTATTGTCTTTAGTTCCTGGATGGATGCAAAGCCTTGCGAAGATGGTGAATGACTTTAATACAGTTGATCTATAAATAAAAGGGAGAGACATTTGGTCAATACATTCATGTCGAACATATACCAAAATTACAATTCACTTTTCTCACCCAACAATACCAAACACTATTCTTCTCACCAAAAAAAAAAAAGTTGCATATTTATTCATTTGATTTATCTCTCTCTCTCCTTTTTAATTTACATGGTTTGAAGAACACAAATAAGTTTCCCATCCAAGGTGACATTTGACAATCTTTTCATTACATCTTCAGACATTTACTTATCCCTTTTTTTTTTTTTTTTACATTGTTTTTTATGATACATAAATGAATTTATTAAGGTTTTCAACTACATAAAAAATTTTATCTTCCCTTCTTTAATTAAGCTTCAAATTTGAAAATTTGAAATTAATAATTTTATGTGAATGTACTCAAATGATATATTCGCATATCTATTTTTTATTTTAAAATTTAAGTGAAAAACATTAAAATTATAATAAAATTTTAAATTTTATTCAAGTATGTTAAATGTGCATAATAGATTAGTGTATATAACTTTTTGTAAAATATATATATATATATGATAATATTTGGCACATATGGGACAAGCATATCAAGTTATCAACTTGGGCTTGGGGAAGACTAACTTCCTCTTTGCAGGAAATGGGAAGAAGTATTCCTGCATTCATGATGGGAGCTCGACGACCGGCATCCCTGCAAGTCTTAAACTATGCATCAAAGGGGCCATCGGCCACCCCATTCCCAAATCAAACTGGATCAAATCTTGTCCATGCTTTGTACGGAATCACAAAAGCAGAGAAATCTTAAATGGTTTTGTTAGCAACTTGGGGCCTAGGCCCGGTTTACAGGCAAAAGAGGGTTAAAAATTTTTTTTCTCTGCATGAGTATGCCCCCCTTTCAATTGGATAATTTTAAAGGCACGCTTCTTAATTTCTTTGTATGGGGATGAAAAACCGTTGAAAAGTTTTTTTATAGAAACAATTTCCTCTCATTTTATGAACATTGGTCCCTTTTTTGCAATTATCCCGTGGATTCTATGCATAAATAACAATGAACTGAAACTAATACAGTTTAATCGCAGCTTTCTTTCCTAATGAATGAAACATTTAATTATTCCAACGAGAAAATCAATCCGAAGAGATTATTACAGAAAACTGAAACTAATACATATATAGGAGAAATGTCCAACCTATCGAATACTAATGGGAAAAAACTACCCTTTATTTAGTTTATTCTACTTGCCTGATCAATGATAATCAAACAAAATATGCAAGGACAACCATAGCCAAACATTTGGTAGCAATCTGAAGACTGGAAATTTGAAGTGATGAAGCAGTATTAGTAATAACACTGGTAGGAGCCGGATTCTCAGCTGCAGGAGATGGTGGCAATGGGAGTGATTTAGCTGGAGCAGGGCTGGGGCTGGAAGCTCCATGGACGTAGATGTCAACCTTCTGGCCATATCTGCAATGGTTGAGGAAGCCGCAAAGGAAGTAGCGGTGCCCGGGCTGCTCCAATGTGAATGAATCGTTGCCAGAATAGTGGGTGGCTGTTGGCTTTGTTGCATTGCATGCTTGGTAATTTGGTTCTGTCACTTCCATCACATTGTGAAAGATAGCATTATATTCAAAGCCTGCAAAGTTAATTATTTAATACCATATTAAAGAAGCTCTACTTTCTTGGAGAGCTAAAGGCTAAAAAGGTGGTGTCGAATGATAGCAGAAAACTTGGGGCGCAGAGAAAACAAGATCTTTGAGTATAGCAAAAACAAAGGGCCAGGGCTGGGAGTCAATTTTTTATTAAAGGTAATGGGAAAGTGTAGATCAATTATATAAAGGATTTGATCAAAACTTTTCATTTGAAAATAAAGGAATTAATTTATTATCCAACAGGAAAAAATTGTTTCTTTCGTGAATGAAATGTATAAATTTTGTTTATCATTAGGAGTCCTACGTTAATTTCACAAATGATGAGAACAATTTTCATTGCACTAAATTTAATAATTTGTATATTTGAATCATATAAAATATTGATAATTCGTATATTTGTATTATATTTTACATAAAAATTATATATCATAACTAGTTTTTTTAACCCATACGGGATTTTTTATTAAATTTTTCATAATTTTAAATTTATTTTTTAATTATTTATCTAATATATAATCATATATTTATAAATGATAAATTATAATTAAATGATAATTTATACATAATATATTATAAATGATATTATTCATCTAAAAAAAGTCTAAACTTTTGTAAATTTTCAAGAATTATAAAAATCTTTTTTTCATTAAAAAATATTTTCTTCAATTTATTTGCTAAATACTAAAAATTTTGCTACTACGTTTTTTCTTGTTTGATAAAAAATCAAGAATCTTGTTTGATAAAAAATCAAGAATCAATATTTAAATAGTTAAGATTAATAATTGTTTTATCGTAATATTGATTGGGTTGTGTGTGTGTATATATATATATATATTTGATTGAACAACAAATCACAATTATTAATTTTGTTATAATTGTTTTCTTTTTATTAATTCTTATTTTTGACAAACTTCAAGTAAAATTTTTTTATATATGTTAACAAAATAAAGTTATTTTTTAGATAAAAAGGAAATGATAATTCCGAAATAAAGTTATTTTTTAGATAAAAGTTATTTATGTTAAGCTTAAAAAAAAAATTTGAAATATTTTTTATTTTTAATCATTTTTAACATAATTGATAGTATTTTTTGTGAGTTTGATATGGTAGTAATCATAATTCTTCTCATATTATCCATTGTAGACAAAGAAATTCAATAATAAAAAATATAATAAAAGAAAATAGAGAATATAAATTTACATATTAATTTGTTAAAATTAAATATATACAATAATAAAAGCAAATATGTTAATAAATTAACAGAGAATAAAAGCATTGAAGAAATGAATAAAACAAAAAATATATATAATACAAAAAGTTAATTATAATCAATCTAAGCAAAATTAAAAAAAGTTATGGACTAAAGAGAAACAAATAAATTAACTAAATATATAATATAAAAATATTTGAATTAGAACATAAATAAAACATTATATTTGTTTTTAAAGCAAAAACATATTTTTATTTAATTTTTTTATCAACATTCAAATATCTTATATTTTCATATAAAGATGTAAGCTTTTGTTTCTTTAAAAATACATGCTTTCCAATCAATAATTCATTAACTTATCTAAACCTATTAAATTTAAATAATCTATTAAATAATTATCTAAAAATATTAAATTTAAATAATTTATTAAATAAAATTATTTGACAGAAAATAAAATTTTATTAAGTATATATATTTGGAAATGTTATTAAATTTAAAAAGAAAAGAAAAATTATGATTTAATATATTTGAATTCAAATCTTATGCAAAAATCTTAATCTTAGATAGATTTTGATTTCAATTTAAATAATTATCCAAAATATTCAATTTAAATAATTTATTAAAAAATTTTATTTGATAAATAAAATAATATAAATATAATCTTATGTGTCATTAAAAGAGATTATCCACCTAGACATCCACATAAGCAATTTTGATCATGTAACCTTGTATGTTATAATATAATATATATATATATTATATTTGTGTTGACACAAAAATATAATATATTTTTTTATTAAAATTTTAAATTATATTACCTTCATATTTTTTTATGCTACTTTCGTATCATGTTATCGAAGTCTATGCTACACCAAAAGTTTGTTTTATGGCTACATCCTTAAGTATTTGGTCATAAAACAACATCATGACATAATGAAAATTCTTCTTATCACACTACTTGAAAAAGACAAATCAAAGGTATTTTTTACCATGTATATTAATACACTGAGCTGAAACAAATATAAAGTAGATATTGCTAGACATGAGAGAAGGTTTAAGGATGGACTAGGCCTATTGCAAACGAGAACGAGAAATACTAGAAATTAGACAAAGGTAAATGGATCTGTTGTGTGCTTCAAAATTCTCTCTTAATTAATCAAAGATGAAGATATATTAGTTGTAATTTTTATGTAGCCTTAAACTAATGGATAAAAAGGACAAACAAATGTTACTATTATCATGGAGTCGATTCAAAATATGAGAAGAGGAAATTCTTTAAATCAGGAGTTTAAAGAAGAGCTTACGAATAGTGTCACCAACATAAAATTTCTTGGAAGAGGCCCACTTTTGGTAATCAAACATTGGATGCCAACCCGAAGCATCACCAACCCTGTAAACAGCCCCAAAACTGATAGCAAACGCAGCAATTATCGTCAACATAAACATTGCATTTTTAGTAGAAACCATGGCTAAACCCACCAAAGGAGGGATACTGTGGGAGAGAGAGAGAGAGAGCCAGAAGAGAATCAGGACAAATTACTGATAGAGTGATTAACTATTTGACTAATATGTTGTTGGGAAAAATTTACCCTAATTACATCAGCATGTTTGATGCCGGTTTAGGGAAAGAAACGGTTATTTCTGGGAAAAACTTTTCAAAAGTATACGTTTTGGATATTTGCAATCACTGTAGTAAATGTACCGAATTAACTACATACTTTAATGCGGTAAGTGCAATTAATTTGGATTTTTTTTATAAATTAAATAATAAAATACGTAGGACCATAAAAAAAATTGAGTTTTTTTTATGTATATATAATGATGCATGGGATATTCGGTTCTATTTTTGAGTAACGAAAAATACTAATCAAATATCTAGTCAAATGCTCGTGCATAGAAAAATTAAGAATTGAAATTTCTTTGTGAATAAAAAGGAGGAAAAAATTAAAACTATGGATTTTACGTTCTGATTATGGGCTTGCAGGCTACGATCCAAAAATTGGCTTAGACTAGCTCTTGGGCCCAAGGAAGAGGCGTGACCAATGTGTCAACTTTTTGGCCTGTTTGGCGGTGGCCAGGAACACCTCAGAGGACGTTGCAGTGACTGGGCCTGTTGAGTGTAATGGAGTCAGAACCAGAGGTGACAGCGTATGTTACTTCGCAGGACTGGAAACCGTTGAGGCCCACTTGCATCACAGTGTGAAATTGATTGCAGTACTCGAAACCTATCGTCGTTCTCTTAGCAGAAGCCATCGTTGAACCACGAAAACCAAAAGAAAGAAAGCAGCCAATCGAATTAGAGCAAGAAACTAACAGAGAGAGAGACGAGAGAGCAAGATTTATACAGGGTTTTCGTGTTCCTAGTCCATGTCCCAGCATGAAAAGATTTCCCATACCAAAAAGAATTTGTATATACTTGAATCGTACGTCGACAACAAAAAATATACTTTTAATCAAAGGCATACATGTTATAAACATTAAATCCCCATTATTATTATTATTATTATAGTGTACTATATCCTTGGTTATATATAGTTTTAATTTAAAAACTTTGGGATGATTTGGATTTTTATTTTTAATTTTAATTTTTATGTGATTTTTTTAATAAGAAACTTAACGTACACAAAGAACTTGACTTAAGAACCTGATGATTTTTTTTTCTTTCTTTTTTTCTTGAACAAAGACTGGTTTGATCATGGTAAAGTAAAATATATAATTACTCTATCTGAAGCATTCCCTTTGTTTTAAGATTTATGATTCTTTATGTTGTTGGAATGAATTCGAACGAGTTATTTTCTCCAGAATTACCAAATTTTTGATAATGCAAAAGGGAAAAAACCAAATGAAAACAAGCCTAATACACAAATATATTAGGTGAAAAAGTAAAGGTATATTACTTACTACATTATATATCTTTTAATTAGTTAAATGTATATTTCATATATGATAATAATGCTACCCGGATATAATCAAGTCCAAGCATTCCCAGCACAAACACAATTGTAAAGACCACCTGCCTGGAAGGCAAAACCAAAGACACAAATTGAGACAAGACTCAATGCCAAAGAAAGCTTGGAGGAGATGAGATATACAGCACTGCTCTGAGCTTCGGCAGGTGACACCATTTCTGAAGAGTGTGTGCGGGTGATGAACCAAAAGTAGATGGGCTAGGACTTGCACTTGGGGCTATGGATGATGGAGTGACCAATACATCAACTTTCTTACCGGCTTGGCAGTGGCTAGGAACACCGCAAAGGAAATAATAGTGGCCAGACTTTTTGAGGATTATGGTCAGAACCGGAGGTTTAGGAGGCGATGGCAGATGTTCCGTTGCATGACTGGAAATCGTCGTGAGTCACTTGCATCACGTTGTGGAATTGACTGTTGTACTTGAAAACTGCATGGAAAAAGGATTTAGATTTTACTTTAGAAGGTGGTGGATTCAAAAGCTTAAACTTTTTTTATTTTTCTTTAAAGTGGTGGAAAGTTGAAAGTACTTTTCTCTTCTCCTTTACAAAAACCCTTTAATGGAATTAACGAGCGAGCCCTGCAATTGTTAGTTGACCAACCGAAAGGAAGAGTATACGTATGTTAAGAATTTTTACCAGCCATCTTTTAGGTTTCACTTTTACCGGCCATTTTTTTTTTCTCGTTGGGAAAGGGGGCCGGGGGTGCGTGGCATCAGAAAATCCCCGACTCTATGGACCCTGCAGACTGAGAATATACATATCCAAGAAAACTGGGACAATTTTTTTTTCTTAAGAGAAAGAGTGTCAGAACTTAAAGCAATAGAACCATGAAGGAAGCTAAGGAGAAACAGAGGGAAGATTGATGAGAAAACTTACGAAGAAAGTCGCCAACATGGAAGCTCTTGGTGGAAGCCACTTGCTGTAGTCAATATTTCCCATGCTAGTCCACCCAGTAGAGTCACCAACCTTGTGAACTTCACCAAGAGAGACTCCAAAGCAAGCGAACATCAAAAGGAAAGCCACAGTTCTCTTAGCAGAAGCCATCCTCAAAACACGATTATCAACAGAGAGCTTGGAAATTAGTTAATTTGTGAAGAGAAATATCGGTGCATGACCTCTATATATAAGGAGGTTTTTCCTAATAGTCCTAGTAGTCCTTGATTGGAAAGACTTCACAAACCAAAAAGGATTTGTATATTGAATTTCCAATAGAAAGGTGGGTGAACATTCTTCTTGTTAAATCTGGGACGTCCATGTGTGAGTTTCACTGAATCTGAACCGTGGTATTCCAACGGTAATTTAATGAAAGCAATGGATAGTCCAAATGGTAAATTTGAATGCCTTAGAAGTTGGGCCTAAAATTTATATGAGCATTGAGTCCAAACCCATGACTATGGGCTGGCCCATTCATTAAAATAGATTTCATGATTAGACCCAATTTGGCGCATAGCAACCATACAAACCCCCTTTACCCACGCCGAAGAACGAAAAGTTCTCAATCCCCTCCCTCCTTTCTTAGCTCGTTGACAAGCCAAGAACAAGCTCCCAACCTTGAACGCTAACAAAATCCACAACCATTTCCTACTATCAAATGGCCGCGCCTTTTCTTCAACGACCCTCGTTCGGTCCATCTTCAGGCCTAATCCTAATCCTCCCGAATCCCACCTCTCCCCTTCAGGTTCTCTCTTATTTCTTCCTTTCATTACATCTTTTAGAGTACATTTGATCCATAAAATCTTAAATTTTAAGAGAAAGTATGATATTTAAAAAGGTATGAATTCTTGGCAAGAAGTGATTCTTGATAACATGAGACTGTTATATTCTTGTATTTAGTTTGAGGAAAAGTCAAATTACTTAATTTTATATTTTTATTATAATGTCCTTCACTATATAACAAACTCAATAATTCTTCAATTAAAATGATCGACAAATAATGCAGCTTTAAATCATGTAAATACATAGCATTATTTGAGTGGCCAATTAAAAAAATTACATAAATTACTAATTACAAAAATTCACAACTATCAATTACTATATTATAAAACAAAGCAACACAGTAATTGATCATTTGAAAGGAAATTAGAATTATCAATTATTACATTTCAAAGCCTATAATTGTAGTAATTTATTTTTTTAAAACAATTATAATGATCAATTACTGCGTTATAAAACAAAGCTATGCAATTATTGTGTTTTAGAGCCTATAAATGTAGTAATTGATTGTTTTAAAACAATTATAATGATCAATTACTGGGTTATAAAATAAAGTATTACAGTAATTGATCTTTTGAAAAAAAAATAAAATTATCAATTACTACATTTCAAAACCTATAAATGTAGTAATTGATTGTTTTAAAACAATTACAATAATCAATTACTACATTATAAAACAAAGCAATGTAGTAATTGATCATTTGAAAAAATTGACAATTATTAACTATTGTTTTTCAAAGCTTATAAATGCAGTAATTGATTATTTTAAAATAATTACAACGATTAATTATTACATTATAAAACAAAATAACACAGTAATTGATCTTTTGAAAAAAAAATTAGAATTATCAATTATTATGTTTCAAATAATATCAATATAATAATTGATCTATTTTATTTGGTTTTTACATTAGAAACCCTACCCATTATTTTATTAACTTTTTTACAAAGGATTAACCCAGACCTTTGGCCAATCCTTGAAACCCAAAACCCATCAGAGAAACCCCAAGCCGTTTTGTTTCCATCATCGCCACCATCATTGTCTTTGACCATTGATTGAGGTAAAATATGACTGTTCAATAATTGTTCATATAATTATATTTATTATATTTTTATTTTCAATTGCTTGCTTGGTGATTTATCATATGCTTGGTATTTGCTTGGTTGATTTCAAGTAAAAATGTGAATTTCATTGTTTGATAATTGTTCATATAATTATAATAGAATCTATGAAAAAATTAAGTGCTAGAAAAATCAACTCTCTCCCAAAATAGATTTTATGATTATTTTGTCTTATCTCAATGAATAGATCAAATCAGGAATTCATTTCATTTTTTTGGTATTCAATTGAATTGGATTATGTAATATCATAATAATGGTAGAAATTGAATTATTATTTTCTTTTATATTTCATACAAAACTCCATAAGGCTAAATGGCATTTATCAATTCTTTTATGTATCTATTAGTTATAAATATAAATTCAAATTTGAGTATAATTTTTCTTCTTCCTTTCATATACATTTCATACATTCCATATATATTATAGTTTTTGCACTTACCAAGAAAACAAAAATAGTACGAGGTTGGTTTTTGTCTAAAATAATAACTTGGGACAACCAAAGATTCCCCATACACAAACTGATCTTTTGTTTCACAATATAATTAGCAATATTGATTTACAATAAAAAAAGATGAGAAATTGCCAAATTAAATCTTTGAACAAATCAACCTAGTAATTCTTATTTCACAATAGAATTGAATACAGTCCAAACAACAACATGAA